TTAAATACACTAATAAAATTATTTAAAATTACTCTAAAACTTTTTTTTAAAAATAATTTAACATCTATTTAAAAATTATCATATCTCAAATAAAATAGGAATAATAAAAATTAGTAGGTGAATGCATGCAGAAAATTAAATCGAAAGAGGTGAAATATGTCAGAACAAGTAGAAGAAGCAAAGGAAAAACTTGGAGAGGAGTGATGTAACAAATAAACCTTAATCACTCCCTTTTCAATTATTTTGTTGTTGTGTATAGAGGATACATATAAAGTATTTATAATCGAGAAAATACTAACTGGCTTTTTTAATTTCCTTTAACAATAGTTTGATTTTAGAGGATTTTGCAAACCAATTTAATTATGTATTTAACGGGATATATTCTATAATAGTAATAATGATTTCGAGAAAAGAAATAAGGGTTCATAGAAATTAAAAAAAATACTGTTTTAACTTAATTCACTGGGCATTAAATTTTTAATAAAAAAAATTTAAGTTTACTATTTGAATAGATATTATATATTTTCTATATTCTAGAATATAGAAAAATATATAATAAAATAAAAAATCCAGAAGTTTACGTCCCTAAGAATCTTTTTAATAAACCATTAAATTTGGTCCAAAATTTGACGACTACTGACCATCTTTCTAACTAAAATATTAAATTTTGTCGAAAATTTGACAACTACTACCAATTATCTTATAGTTGCTCCATAAGTTATAATTTATTCTACTAAGTCAACAAACAATTTCATAAGTTAGTAACTCATTCTGCTGAATCAAGTTTTTAGCTCACAGAAGTAAGGATACGAGGATAGTAAGTAAATGATGTAGAAAAACAGAAGAAAATGGATTTACAGACAAAGAAATGATACGAGAATACCCGTGGTAAGTAAATGAGAAAACAACCAGAAAATTGATTTGTAGAGGAGAAAGGATACAAAGGAGTAAGTAATAGAAAACCAAGAGAAAATGGATTTGCATAGAAGTAAGGATACGAGGATACCCGTAAGTAAATGATGCAGAAAACAAGAAGCTAGAAAATGAATTTGCAGAGAAGAAAGTATCTCTAGTAACTGTATGTATGATAACCCATCTTGGAAGGGGATGAGAGACTACATAAGTAACACGAGGAACTACTACTGTATGTACAATAACCTGCCTTGAGAGGAGACAAGAGACCACATAAGTAGATAACATATAGAATTGTTATTGGATGTATAATAACCTAACTTGAGACATGATGAGGGACAACACAGGTAGCTGATTGAAGACTGTAACGACCTTAAATTTCTACATACTCAGAGTTGCTACTAATGTCTTATGCTCATCTCTAATGCGAAAATATAACTCTTACATGAACATCATTTATAACTTAAACTTCGAAAAACGCTTAAAACAACTTTTTCTCTGGAAAACTCAGTCATGGTCTTACATATTTAAATACGAAATACTGAAATTTAGAGAATAAAAGCAATACAAATTAATTTAAATAAATGAGATGCATAACAACCTATTTTAACCTAAACATAGAAATTTAAATATGAATCTACTTGATACACGTGTCACAGTCTTTGCTCTCGATGCCGCCATCCTCCGTACAAGTGTACCTTGCTTGTACCTGAAAAATGATGTGGCAGACGGCCTAAATATTTCAAAGAATACTCAGTATGTGGCCCCACTATAGGGGGCTATGCAAATGCAAATACATTCAATTATGATTTAGGGACCTATCTTTAAGATCATAGGGGTGACATCCAGTCTCAGATAAATTGGATGTGTAGTACTTTCTTACACATGACTCACACGTGTGAGTGTGAATCCCCAGGGCGCTTGCACACCATCTGGATCCTCTAGTCAAGCTAATTTGTAGTGACATCCGAAGGTCAACGGAACCCCATAGTGTCATCCGCCTCATGAACACCCTCATCTGTGCGCATTCACACTCATCATCATACTGTGCGCGTCTGTACTCATCATCTCTAGGGGAAGAAGCCGTCTACTTATGAACATACAATATGCATGAGGTCCTTCTAAATCCATCATAATGTCTCTTTTGACACAACCCTCTAGTCTCATCCCTTTATTACTCTAGGTAACACATACTTGTGGATATTTATATTAATATCATTTTCATACTCTTAGAGTTGTGTTATATGTCGATCTAACAACGTGATGCAATATGACATTCATCATCATACAACATGCTCAATATGGAAAACATCATCATATGAAGGTAAACGTCACGCACTAATCATACTCATTATATTGTCATAAAGTGCATCAAGCATATCAAGTACGTCATTCATCAAAATATATATATACTGCACACATCATCAAGCATCATAACTCATACATCATCATGCACTTATACATCATCATTTACTAGTATATAGCATCATACGATACTGCTCATACGTCATCATATACTAACATACATCAGCATAACTCATACAATTTTTAACCTATCCTATAGTAAGGCCACTTACTTGGTTGACCTTAGCCAGAGTACTTCATAATTTAATTAATGTAAGCTCCCGTTCCTCGAGAGCTACTCCAAAGGTTGTCGGGATTCGTTTCCTATCGCACCGTTCGTCACCTTTTGTTAGTATTTTACATTTTAATTAATAATCCAACTAACAATGTGAAATACAGATCTAAAACGGTCTCAGTAAAAATTGAATAACATGTTTTCATTGTTTCTCAATTGTGTTGACTATGCAATTAATCGAATCATTTTCAAACCTACCATCTATTAACTTATTCTAATTTTCTCTTCTTTCCTAAAATCGTCTAATTTTCTTTTCTTTCCTCATATCTTCCTCTTTCCTTTATCTGTATTTTTTTTTTAATTCTAATTGAACCGTTTAATTCTATTCCCATATTTTCTATTTGCTTTATTACTTCTAAATATTTCTCTCCAGCTCTGTATTTTTTTTTCTCTTTTTTATTTGGTTTTCCAAATCTTGTATTTCTTTTATTCTTTTTTTTTTCTTTGATCGTTTTCCAAATCTTCTCCTCTATCTCCCTATTTCTTTCTTTTGTTTTTTTGTTTTTTTTTTAATTTTGTTTTCCAAATATTCCTTTTTTTCCTCGTTTGATTCCTTTTCCAAATCTTCCTCTCTTTCTTATCCATCTATTTCTTTTTTTTCTTTTGATTTTTTTTTGTTGAGAGTATTCAATCGACTCTTTTGCTATAATTCCATAGTTTATAATTTAGATCTAAATATGCAACAGATTAATATCATTAGATAAAACAATAAATAAATAAATATGACTATTGACCTTTTCAATTGACATCTCTTTTTCTCTTCTCACAAAATCTTTTCCCTTCCTAGAAAATCTTTTATTTTAGGGGGAGAGTGGTGTTTGGCAGAGACATGGGATTAGTTGTTATTATTATTTTTCTATTTTTTTATTTTTTTAAATTCAATCGTTACATTATATGTCCCCTAGAAAAACTTTCAGTAAAGTCTCAAACTCTTGTACTAACTCGAGGTATTTTTCTCTTTCTTCATCCTCACGCACCCCCGTGGCCTCCTCAGTATGGTGGCTCCGCCACAACACCAAAACGAACGCAATGTCTCTGGTTGCGTAGCGTTTTCACTTCTCAGGTTAAAATTCTATTGGTTTTCTTTGTAACTCAAATCTTCATTGAAATGGAGGGGCTTGTAGTCTATTATGTGTATAGGGCTCGTCATGTATTTACTCAACATCTACACGTGAACTACCTCGTGTACTTCTGAGAGGGAGGGAGGTAGGGCTAACTTATACGGTATGGACCAATTCGCTTGAGAATTTCGATAGGTCCAATGCATCTAGGACTTACTTGCCCTTACGTTCGAACCTCAAGACGCCTCTCATGGGTGCCACCTTTAAGAATACTAGGTCCCCTACCTCAAACTCTAAGTTTCTATGTCTTACATTATATAAGTTTTTTTTTTTTTGTCTACTTTGAGTGGTACGCATCCTCACTCAAATTTTCTGGACAGTCTCATTGGCCACTAGGACCAGCTCGGGTCCTACTAGCTCTCTCTCATCTACCTCTTCCCAACATAGCTGGGACCTGCACCATTTCCCATACAGGACCTCAAAAGGTGTCATTCCAATAGTGGCTCAAAGCGCAACTTCCCTTAAAGTCTAATACACAAGCGCGTAGCGTGTCCTCTAAGATTTGGTTTAGGCGCTTTGTTTGTCCATTTGTTTGGGGGTGGAAGGCGGTGCCAAAGTTGAGCCGAGTACCCAACACTTTTTGAAGTCCGCGCCAAAATGTTGACGTAAAGCGTGGATCTCAATCCGACACTATAGACACCGGAACTTCATGTAGTTTTACTATTTCATTCACAAACAGTTGCTCCCAGTTATCAACTGTATATGTGGCTTTCCTGGGTAAGAAGTGTGCCGACTTGGTCAACCTATCAACAATTACTCATAGCACTGTATAGCCTTTAAACGTTTTGGGTAATACTACTATGAAGTCCATTGCTATGTTTTTCCACTTCCACTCCGGTATGTTGAATATAAATAAATAAATTTGCTCTTATACCAATTTGTTGAAATTAAAAGCCGCTCCAATACCAACTTGTAGAAAATAGACGCTCGCTCTGAAACTAACTCGTTTAGATAACTCTCACGAAACTGTGAAGGAGGTGTCGAGAGGGGAGACAAACAAGGAGACAAAGAAATTCTCAAAACCCTATTCTATTACACTCTACCTTTAACTCTGTAACTCTAGCTCTACTTTTTACCATGGAAAACCTATTAATTTATAGGTTTTCTAAAATCTAAAATTTTCTCTCCCATAACCCATAAAATGATTGTTGCCCTTCATTTTTTTTTTGGCATTTTCCTTCTTTTCCACTCAAATTTCAAAAGCCTTACTAAAAATAAAGAAATTAAAAAATTATTATTTTTTTTTTTTTCTTTTCATTTAAGTTTATTCCCAACAAAACTCCACATAAACTTAAATGTTCTATTCAATGATTTCACATGCACGGTTTTCATCTTCTTGAGCTCAGTCGTGGTTTTTTCAATTTTTTCTCCTTTTCCTTGAGCGGCAAAATAAGGTTGTCCTTCTTTGATGAGACTTCATTTGGATCTTCTTGAGAACAGCCCATCTGAGACTCCAACTCTTCATTTCTCCCATTCTCAGCCACGCTTGACTCAGACATCATGGCTTCGTTCAGTTTACTCAATTGCCTTCGTAAGTCCACAGCGACTTTTACAGCTAGCATTCTTGTTTCCTCCAGTTTGGTTTTCTCATGAGTGAGTATCTCAATCGTGTGTCGTAAATTCACTGCCTCCTGTTGGACTTGATTCAGGTTTACGTTGAGTGAGTTTCTCTGTTGAGTCAGTATCTCTATATCTTTCTTCTCCCTCACTAGCTCGTCCACTAGACCCTCAATCTCCATGAACAGGCCTTTCTCTTTCTCCACACCTTTTTTAACTTTCTTCGTAAGATCGGAGATTATCTTCTCATTATTTTCCTTCTCCTATTTTAGACAGAAGGAACTCTTACTCAACTCAGCCATTTCTTTCTCTAACCTTTCAACTTTTGTTTCCAGCTCTTTCTTTTCTTTCTCAATTTTCATACTCTTTCTTCTTTCTTCCTTGAATTTCCTTTTCGGCCATTGGAGCTCTCTCTCTTTGAGCTCGGGCTCTTTGTTATTCGGTTGTTCATCTTTCTTTGATTTTCTCGTCTCCGATACCGTGATTTCAACAAATCCGTTGCGTATCACCTCATTTCTAACAGTTTCTACCACCTCAAGACTACCGCCATCATCTTTCGCAACGCCGTCTCCTTTTGTGTTTGGCTTTTCGTTTTGGGCCATCAAGAGAATGCCTCCATTTGTTGCGTCATCCAATGCCAGGTTGATGGTTTCTTCCACCTTTTCTTCTGCTCGACAATCTCTCGCATAGTGACCCATTCTGCCACAATTGTAACATCTATCCGAGTTACAATTATTTACATAGTGACCATATTTCTGACATTTAAAGCACTAGATGTTGAAATTGTATCCTTGACCGCGCCCTTGATTGCGTCCTCTTCCACGCCAATTCGCTTGGCTCGACAATCTCTTCTCCTGGTAGTTTTCTTCATAAGTGTTGCCTTGACCACCTCGACCATTCCCGCGGCTTCCATGATCTCTACCTTGAACATTTTATGAATAGAGTACTTTTCTATCCTTTAGTGATGCCTTTGTTTGAAGCGCTTGATCGAGTGTCTCCTCCTTCTTTTTCTTACGTTGCTCGTGTGCCTCGAGAGAACCGGCAAGCTCATCGACTATGAACTTCGTCATGTTCTTCGACTCTTCTATGACACATATGACATTCTCGAAGTTGTCTGTTAACGACCTCAAGATTTTCTCCACAACCCGTGTCTCGGGTAACATTTCTCCGTTTCGATTTAGCTGATTCGTCACGATCTGTACACGTGTAATATAGTCAGATACATTTTCTGACTCCTTCATCTTCATGCTCTCCAACTCGCCACATAGAGTCTGGAGACGCACCTGCTTGACTCGGTCGGTTCTTTTGAACACCTTTTCTAGAGTGTCTCATGTTTCTTTTGAAGTAATTGCCTTTGCAATCTTCTCAAAGCTCAACTCGTCAACAACCCGGAATAGCATGTATAATGCTGCCTTATCCTTTGACCGTAATTCTTTTTGCGTCTTGTTTTGCGCCGCCGTATAACCCGTGGTATCCTTCGGTTCATCGAAACCTTCTTCAACCACCTCCCATGCGTCTTGTGAACCGAGAAGAGCTTTCATTTGGATGCTCCAATTCTCGTAGTTCGTCTTCGTTAATCGTGGTAGCGGCATTTGTCCCATCATGTTTGCCATCGACTCTAATACCAATTTGTTGAAAATAAATTTGCTATGATACCAATTTGTTGAAATTAAAAGCCGCTCTGATACCAACTTGTAGAAAATAGACGCTCGCTCTGAAACTAACTCGTTTAGATAACTCTCACGAAACTGTGAAGGAGGTGTCGAGAGGGGACAAACAAGGAGACAAAGAAATTCTCAAAACCCTTTTCTATTACACTGTACTTTCAACTCTGTAACTCTTGCTCTACTTGCTCTGCTTTTTATAGTGGAACCTATTAATCTATAGGTTTCTAAAACCTAAAATTGGGTATCCCATCACCCACTCTCTAATAAAATGATTGTTAGCCCTTCATTTTTTTTGGCCTATACCTTCTCTTACTACTCAAATTTCAAAAGCCTTACTAAAAATAACTGAATTAAAAAACTACTTTTTTTTTTCATTTAAGTTTATTCCGAACTCGGTATACTTAGGGCTGTAACATCCCCGCTGTCTTTTGTTTAGGAGCTTTCACTTGTTGACAAACTAAGCACTTGCTCACAAACTCGGCCACGTCCCTCTTCATGCTCTTCTACCAGAAATGTTGTTTTAAATCTTGGCACATCTTAGAACCTCCTAGGTGCATGGCAAATGGCAAGTTGTGAGCTTCCGTTAGTATCTCAATTGCCAGGACACATAGGCTTCCCTAATACAATAGTCCTTCATCTGAGGACTTCAAGAATCCATCTACTGGACTTTCGTCTAGCTGGCTTAGGACTTTCTATAGGTTAGGATCCTCTCGTTGGGAGGTAATAATTCTTTACCTAAGCGTAGGTTGCACTGTGAGTTGGGCCAACTGTGCTATGACTCCCTCGGTCGCTACAACTATGCTGGCTCGCTCGAATTCTCTTTGAACCCTTACTTCCTTCGTAATGAGGGCCGATGAGTGGGCCGTCTTTTTACTCAAAGCGTTTGCGACCATGTTTGCTTTTTGAAGGTGGTACTGGATATCTACATCGTAGTCTTTCACCAATTCAAGTCACTTCTCTGTCTCATATTTAACTCTTTCTGGGTGAAGAAATATTTTAAACTCTTATGGTTGGTAAAACTTTGAGTTTTCTCTCCATACAGGAAGTGTCGCCAAATTTTTAGCGCAAACATTACAGCGGTCAACTCTAGGTTGTGGGTAGGGTAATTATTTTTGTATTCTTTTAGTTGACGGGACGCGTATGCAACAACTTTACTGTGTTGCATTAACACACATCCTAGTCCCTTCTTGGAAACATCACTATAGATTACGTACCCTTCTGAACTCTCGGGTATTGTGAGTACTAGGGTAGTTACCAATCTCTCTTTTAGGTTCTGGAAGCTTGCCTCACAAGCATCATTCTATATAAATGGTACCCCTTTTCTCGTTAACTGTGTCAAAGGGGAGACTATCCTACCGAAGTCCTACACGAACCTTCGATAGCATCCCGCTAGTCCCAAGAAACTCCATACTGATGTTATCTTAGTTGGGTGTTCCCACTTTGTGACCGCTTCGACCTTAGTGGGATCTACATATACTCTGTCCTTCGACACCACGTGTTCTAGGAAAGAGACTTGTCGTAATCAAACTTCGCACTTTGAGAACTTGACGTACAACTTGTTCTCTCTTAGGATGGCTAGGACTTTGCAATGGTGTTCCTGGTGTTCCATGTCTATTTTCGAGTACACTAGAATGTCATCAATGAGCACGATTACCAAAGTTTCTAAAAAGTCCTTGAACACTCGGTTCATTAACTTCATCAACACAGCTGGAGCATTGGTGAGGCCAAATGACATTACTATGAACTTGTAGTGATCGTACCTTATCTTAAATGCTATCTTTGATACGCCTTTTTCTTTTATTCTTTATTTAATGGTAACTTGACCGCAAATCTGTCTTAGAAAATACGGTTGCCTCTTTGAGTTGATCGAATAAGTCTCCTATTCTAGGCAGAGAGTATTTGTTCTTTATGGTTCTCTTATTTAGCTCTCTGTAATTGATGCACAGATGCATCGATCCATCTTTCTTATTAACAAACAATACTGGAGCACTCTAGGGGATACACTAGGTCGAATGAACCTTTTATCCAGTAAGTCTTGTAATTGCGCCTTGAGTTCCTTCAACTCTGTTGATGTCATGCGATAGGGTGCTTTGGAAATAGGCCCAGTTCCCGACTCGGGTTCGATGACGAAGTTGACTGCTCGTGAAGGGGGCATTCCAAGTAAGTCATCTAGAAATACATTCAGAAACTCGTTTACTATTGACACATTTTTTAGGGTCTTTTCATTTCCTCTTACGTCTACGACACATGTTAATATAGTCTGACCACCTTGTTGGACTAATCTCTTTGCTTTCATCATCGAGACTACCTTTGGGGTAACCCCGGTACTTGTGCCTTTAAATTTAAAGCTAGGTCTCATCGGTGATGAGAATATCACTTCTTTTTTGCGACAGTCTATACTAGCATGGTTTGCAGCTAGTCAATCCATACCTAGTATTACGTCGAAGTCGGTCATCTTTACTACTATTAGGTCTATGCTTAGAGTTTGGTCAGCCGCTATTGCTTGGTCATTCTTTACTCTATCCTTAGTTATTAGGTCTACCCTCGCAAGGGTGCTTGCCGACCATACATGCAATAAGGATTCTAATTCAAACCCTATCTCTGATCCTTCTCGAGGTGGGCTCTCTTCAGCCTCACCTTGTCCTCTACCTCTAATAGGAGGTCATCCCCTTCCTTGCTTTTACTCTTTCGCGTGGTCTAGGTAGCATGGTTCTAGAAACCAAGATAGCATTTCTTAAGTCTAAGGCTCATTACTTATGAATTTATGTTATACATCACATATACTAAGTTCACAACATATTGCAAACAAAATCACTCAGAATGCAACACATCACATCATACTCTTAAATAAATACGTGAAATATCACAACAATTTCAGTAATATTAACATAAAAATGCATGCAAGTTTGAAAATGTTTCTCTTTCCTTATCTTGTGCAAGGTACATAACGGTGACGGGACATCGACGTTGGGACCATGGAACGTGTCAAGCCTACATCGTAGGCTAGTCTACATAATCTAAAACTTAGAGCTTTGATACCAATTGTGACGATCCTAAATTTTCACATACTCAGAGTCGCTACTAACGTCTCATGCTCATCTCTAATGCGGAAATATAACTCTTACATGAACATCATTTATAACTTAAACTTCAAAAAAATGCTTAAAACAACTTCTTCTCTAGAAAACACAGTCATGGTCTTACGTGTTTAAATACGAAATACTGAAATTTAGAGAAAATAAAAAAAAATACAAAATAATTTCAAACAATGAAATGCATAACAACCTATATTAACCTAAACCTGGAAATTTAAATATGAATCTACCCTATGCACACCACAATCTCTACTCTCGATGTTGTCGTCCTCCGTATAAGTGCGCTTTGCCTGTACCTGAAAAATGATGTGGCACACAGCCTGAATATTTCAAAGAATACTTAGCAAGTAACCCCACTATAGAGATCATGCAAATGCAAACACATGCAATCATGATTTAGGGATCTATCTCTAACATCGTAGGGGTGACCTCTAGTCTCGGACAAATTGGATGTGTAGTACTTCCCTACACATGAATAATAAATGCGAGTGTGAATCCCCAGAGTGCTTGCACACCCCCTGGACTCTCTGGTCAAGCATCTGTAGTAACGTTCAAAGGTCAGTGGAACCCCATCGTGTCATGCGCCTTATGAACACCCTCATCTGTATGCATTTGCACTCGTGCACATTCGCACTCATCATCATATTGTGCGCGTTTGCACTCATCATCTGTAGGAGAAGTAGCCCTATGTTTATGAACATAATGCATGAGGTCCCACTAAATATATCATAATGTCTCTTCTGACACAACCATCTAGTCTCACCTCTTTGTTACTCTAGGTAACACATACTCGTGGATATTTATATTAATATCATTTTCATGCTTTTAGTGTTGTGTCCTATGTAGATCTAATGACGTGATGCAATATGGCACTCATCATCATATAGCACGCTCAATATGGAAAACATCATCATATTAAGGTAAACTTCACGCAATCATCATACTCATTATATTACCATAAAGTGCATCAAACGTACTTTCATCAAAATATATATATACTACGCACATCATCAAACATCATGACTCACACATCATCATAACTCATACATCATCATAACTCATACATCATCATACACTCATACATCATCATATACTAGTATACGACATCATACGATACAACTCATACATCATCATATTCTTACATACGGCTTTGTACGACACAGTTCGTACATCATCATAACTCATACAATTTTTAGCCTATCCTATAGTAAGACCACTTACTTGGTTGGTCTAGCCAGAGTACTCCCTAATTTAATTAACGTAAGCTCCCGTTCCTCGAGAACTACTCTAAAAGTTGTCGGGGTTCGCTTCCTATCGCACCGTTTGTCACCTTTTGTTAGTATTTCACATTTTAATTAATAATTCAACTAACAATGTGAAATACGACTCTAAAACGGTCTTAGTAAAACTCGAATAACATGTTTTCATTGTTTCTAAATTGTGTTGGGTAATAAAACTTATATAAAAATATATCAATATTATTTCATGCTCTTTGGATCATTTCAATCCAAATATTGTTTGTTATAATATTATTTTCACTAGATACAAATTATAATAATTTCTCCTATCTTCTATTTTCCTTCTCTCTATGTTGTACCACTTTGTTTCTCTCCTCTGTTATATTTAGTTCAGTTTACAATCACTCTTGTCAATTTAATTGATTATGATTTTCTTTTCTTTGCTAAAAATATATAAGGAATGAATCATCATTTTTTTTTAAATTCTTTTTTACCATACTTCACATTTTCAATCAAATTTGATTTTCTTTCCTTTCCTTAAAAGTGGCTATGCAATTAATCGACCCATTTACAATGGATTCTAATTTTATTTTCCTTCCTAAAATCTATTAAC